TGTTACTTAGAAGTTCGCAAGGATTTCTTGCCCAGCCTAGCCTCGGATACAAATGTTGGAAACCCGGCCAGTTTTAGCATATACCGGTTCTGTACTAAAACAATAATTTCATCCGCTCCATACATCTCCCAAACAAGATTTTGAAATAGCGAATTCCTCAGTATTATATCGTTCTATTGCAGGTTATTGCAGACTTTTAGGGCGGATTCTCTGTTACTTAGAAGTTCGCAAGGATTTCTTGCCTACCCTAGCCTCGGACAAAAATGCTGGCAACCCGGCCAGTTTTAGCATATACCGGTTCTGTACTAAAACAATAATTTCATCCGCTCCATACATCTCCCGAACAAGATTTTGAAATAGCGAATTCCTCAATATTATGTCGTCCCATTGCAGGTTATAGCAGACTTTTAGGGCCGATTCTCTGTTACTTAGAAGTTCGCAAGATTCAAAGAAACGCAACATTTCCTGCAGCTTAACGACGCCTATACTGTATAGGGGAGATTTCTCTCGGTCGGCGGAAAGCTTGTTTATAGAAGGAGGAAAGGAACCGTAATACTGTGTTTTTGGAAAGCCAGACATAAACAGTCATATAGAATGGACTAGGCATGGTGTTGTTATATTTGGTCGCTCCCAAATATGTGTAAAAAAACATGGCGATTGCTTCAATTTAGAGAAAACTTGGCGACGGTAGGAAAGACAAAGAAACGCAACATTTCCTGCAGCTAAACGACGCCTATACTGTATAGGGGAGATGTCTCTCCGTCGGCGGAAAGCTTGTTTATAGAACAAGGAAAGGAACCGTATGTTTTTGGAAAGCCAGACATAAACATATAGAAATGACTTGGCATATTAATGTTAGATTTTGCGGCGATTCAGCGAGAAATCATGGAATATATCTAATATTTCAGGTAAAACCAAATATGAAAAAGCATATAAAATGCTTGTGTTCAGTCGCGCGAGGTGGGTAAGGACTTTATTCATAATAATCAAAAAGATCATATGGCTTTGAGATGCTTCTAGTTAACTCATTACCGCAATGCAATACATTACATTTAAGTCCATGTAAAGCTTACGGAAAGAAACACGTTATATTAACGTGACATTTACACATGTGGAAAGGTTACGGAAAGGCGATATTTCCCTTTCAGTTGCCTTTCCGATGTCGTAAAGGCTGCTTAAATATTTCGCCGCCTTTAATACCTCTTAACGCAGTTCGTAAAGTTGGCTTAAATATGCGTTTTCGTGCTGTGTATCTGAAGTGGTGTTGCTAGAACCTCCGCCATTTCCTTTAATACCCGTGGGTGGATGTTGTCTGGCCCCGGTGACTTGTTCGGGTTCAGGTTTTTCAGCCTTCGGCTTACATCTTCCACACTGACGTTTATGCTGTTGAGGTCTTCCTCATACATTCTCTGTGTCGGCTCAGGGATTGACTGGGTATTCTCTTTGGTAAAAGTGCTGACGAAAAATTTGTTGAGGACTTCAGCTTTTTCATCATCATTTGTTGCTACAAATGTGTGATCTTCATGTGTGTCATCCACTAGGTCTGGTATACATTCTCTTGTTTTGGTTTTTGTGTTCACATATTTCCAAAACAGCTTTGTATTCATCTTGATGTTCTTTGCCAAGTCCTTTTCAAAATTTCTCAGAGCTTTCCTTGTTGCCCAGCGAGCTTGATTTCGTGCTTTTGCATACTTAGCATGGTCCTCATGTGTTCTAGTCTTTGAGTACTTTTTCCATGCTTTTTGCTTCCTCCGTAATTTTAAGGTTGTGTCACTGTCTCTCCATGCTAGATGACCTCTTCTTTTGGAGGGTAGGTTTGTTTTGGGGATGTTTTCTTCGACTGCTGTCTTTACTTTGTGTGAAAACACTTCCCAGCATTCCTCGACGTTGAGGTTGTTCAACTTCTTTTCCCAGTCCTCACTTAATTCTTCTTTCATTTTAGTGTAGTTTCCCTTGTGGTACTGGTAAGTATTAGTTGAGGTATTTGTCCTTTCCGCATAACACTTGAAGGTGAAGGACATGACAATGTGGTCACTCTTCCCTAATGGTGGTCTGGCATCAATCTCTGCAATCATGCCCCCCTCATTTGTGAAGATCAAGTCCAGAGTTTTACTTTCCTGATGTAGTTGGTGTCTTGTTGGGAATGTGACATGTTGGAATAGGTAAGCATCCCTTGTTGCTTCCAGGAATCTCCCTGCCTCACTCTCGTTCGTGCGAGTAGTACCTCCTCCTTCACTCCATGTTATAGTTGGATAGTTGAGGTCACCAACAATTAGCATGTGTGAATATCCCCATGTACCACAGTTCTGTATCAGTTTGTTCAGTTTTTCGTTGTTTTCAGAAGTGGAGTTTGGACTTCTGTAAATTCCCATGATCAGCAGTCTGTCATGCTGGTTTAGTTTGACTTCCACTGGTATTACCTCAGTAAAGGATTCCTGGTCGACCTTATCTGGTGTCATTGCGTTGATGTCATTCTTAACATGCACTGCAGTTCCTCTGACTCCATCACTTTCAGCATTAGTAAATAAGTTGTACCCTGGAATGCTCAGCTCTGTTCTAGTCATCTTGAATCTTGAGTTTTTGGGGTTAGTCTCTGTGGTCACTATAATGTCGGGCTGTATTTCCTCAATAACTGCCTGGTATTCTGCCTTCTTGTTGGTAATACAATCAGCATTGGTATAGATGACCTTTAATTGTTTTCTCGTGTGTTCTGTTGTCTTCTTCTCATTTCTTTTTCCTATTCTGGAGTTATGCTGTCTCATGTGCTGGCCACTGTGGTATACTCTGATGTAGTTTTCCACTGATGTCGGGTACTTTACAATGACTTCTGCCGCAAGATCTCTTAAGTGTGGTACTGTATTCTGCTCTCCTACTGTGTTTGTTCCACCCTTATTTTCTTTATTTGCAGGTTCCAAGGAGGGCCTCTCACACGGTATTTCCAGAGACCTTCCTGTTCTTCCTGTTTTGAATATTTAATAATTCATAAGACCTCCCATCATAACTGTTTACTTCCTTTCTTCATTGCACTTAATGATAAAATTGATCTCATCAATAATTTAAATATCTTAAGTCGCTTCTTACTAGTATTCGGATCCCTCTCTTAATCTGTGACAGTGCTTTTTGTGTACTTCTATTGTTTAATTGACATAATCAATTAACCTGATACAGCTTTAGTTCATAATGATTTTATGTATTCATATGTTAGTTGATTTTCTTCTTCACTTATATTGTCAAGATTAGTAAGGAATGAAGTTCAAGATGATTATCAACCTTGTTATGATATTCTAGTAAATTAATAAGAAGTGAGTATGTAGATGATCGATCAGAACAATCATGGCAGAATTTACAAAGTAAACCAAGCAACTGGATACATTCTCTGAAGTAGTGGTAGTGACTGACTGAGGATGATCTTGATCTTGATACAGTACTGCGTAACACCCCTCAGTTGGGGTAAGACATGCATGAGATGTAGATGCGTTGCTGACAAAATTCAGGAAATTCCTGTTTAACTGTTAGATCTTTTGCATGTTAACATGAGGCTACTGACATCCTTTTGGTTCTTATCAGTATGTTTCACATGTGTAGGATATATATGAATACACAGGAAGCAGACATGCTAAATTCCTACAAGACAACAGTGTTTTAGATAATTGAAGTGTAAAAATGCAATGTCAGTGTCAGTATCATATCACAGTTTTAGAGCATTTGTGAACCATATAAGACCACTTTCATAGAACATTCATTTCTTTTTTATTTTGTGAAATTGTTATGAGATGACAGTATTTAGTTTATCCAAATATGAATATGATGTCAGAATCAGTTGTCATATATAAGTACAAGACATTATTTTGTGAATTATTATATTAGCACCTTGACTGTTCATTATGCGCCCTTCATTATGTTTACCTTTGCAGAAGGAAAACATATTGTTTTTGCTCTGTTTCTTCTTCTTCTTCTCCAAAGAATTAAGGTCAATGACCTGAACCAGACATCTGTCACCATGGTACTAGTAATTTCTTTTTCATTTTCCAGTATGTTTTGAAACGCATGGACTTGCAGAATGCATCCAAACGTGAAAGGAAGGCAGCAGAACAGGAAGCGAAGCTCCTGTCCAAGCTTCGCCACCCCAACATCGTGAACTACAAGGACTCGTTTGAGACGGAGGAGGGCATGTTGTACATCGCCATGGGGTTCTGTGAGGGGGGGGACCTGTACACACGGCTGAAGAACCAGAAGGGGGTGCTGCTAGAGGAGGAACAGGTGGTGGAGTGGTTTGTGCAGATCACTATGGCACTGCAGGTTAGTAATCGGGTCTTCTTTGCATTGATATTGAACCTTCTAATAAGTTACCTTCCTCAAGAAAGTCATATCGGAATCCTAGGCCCACATTTGTATGTTTGTCACCAAGAAAACTTAAAAATGGCTAGATGGGTTGGTTTTGTATTTGGTGTGTTAATAGGTTGTAGACTTGGAGCCATCCTCCATAGTTTCCACCGGCTCCCTAATGTTGCTGGCTATCTGTGGCTAAGTAGGTTGTAGCAAAAACATGGAAATTATTAGATTTTGTGCTCTCTGTCAGCTTTTCATGGCACTGTAGCATTTTTGATATCTTGTGTTCTGGTCTTAATTTTTTTGTGTCAGAAAGATTTTGAGGAAAAGATGGCATTTTTTTATTACTTATTTTTCAGTACCTACACGAGAGAAACATCCTCCATCGAGACTTGAAGACGCAGAACATCTTCCTGACCAAGACTAAGATTATAAAGGTCGGTGACCTGGGGATCGCCCGAGTGTTGGACAGCTCCAGTGACATGGCCACGACTCTCATCGGCACTCCTTACTACATGAGCCCTGAACTCTTCTCCAACAAGCCATACAATCACAAGGTGAGAGAGGGCAGCCTTAAAATGTACATTAGAACTCAACTTAGGCACAATATATGAGCCCTGAGTCCTTCTCCAACAAGGGATACAACCACAAGGTGAGAGAGGACATTGTTATATCCAGAATTCTGTTGGATGCTCAGGCTCGGTTCTAGATGGTCCATGTATATCCAGAACCATGTCTGAGTCAATATCTTATGTTCTTAGATCAGCAGAGAACTGGAACTTGATCCTATCTCTAACCCATTCAGGCATAGAACTAGATAGGCATGGTTGTGGATATGATAGGCATCCTAAAAATGTACATTTAGAACCTGGCAAGGTTTGAGCTATGGGTGTTTTCTAGTCTGTGTTGGTAGACTAGTAAGTTAGGAGACCAAGTTAGAGTTAGAAACTTGGAGTTGTGTTGTAAAATTTTTGTGAAGATCATGAACAAGGTTTGTCAAAAAATCACAGCTTTTATACTACATCTATTCTGGGCAATGTGTGTTCTGGTATGTGTACATGTTTGTTTCAATGATGTTTTGTGTTGTTTTCTCCAGTCGGATATCTGGGCCCTAGGCTGCTGTGTGTATGAGATGGCCACCCTGAAACATGCCTTCAATGCCAAAGACATGAACTCTCTTGTCTACAAAATCCTCAGGGGAAAGGTAAGGGTTCAACTGATATGTCTTGAAGACTTGCTTCCTTTCTTAATATGATTAATATGAAAGACTGAAATTTAAGACAGTGTAGGCTTACAAATGATGTCTTAAAAGGTAAATGTAGTCCCATAACCATTTGGGTCAGTGGGTTGTTAATCCACTGTGTCTAGGGCACGATGTTGGAAGGTGGGGGTCATTCCTGCTTTGTACCTCCCCAACCAAAGTCAAGGACCCATTTTACACCTGGGTGGAGTAAGGAAAATTGTGTATAGTGCCTTTCCCAAGGACACAGTTTCTAGCCAGGGATCAAATCCTTGATCTTGTTTCCACTAGCCTAGCCACTCGATGCCGCAAATGATGTCATATCCTTTTTGAATCAGCACTCATGATGTCCTGTCCTGTTCCCCAGATGCCTTCCATGCCTAAGAAGTACAGTACCGAGCTGTGTGACCTGATTAAGCTGATGCTGGCTCAGGACCCTGAGAAACGTCCCAGCTCCAAACGTGTGCTGAGGAACCCGTACATCAAGACTCACATCGCTCTGTTCCTGGAGGGGACAAGGAGAATGTAAGTATCTGTAGTCAATAATCAATAGATCAATAAATCAATGTATCTGGTGAGGCTAGGGTCCAGGTTTGCAAGACTAGCCACTCTAAAGGGCCCAGTCATGTACGTGTACGTGTTGCGATCATAATATACCCCAAATACATCCCAAATCAACCTCAGAGTAGCACCAACAGCTGAGGAAAGACCTTGTCTTCCTATTAGTTACAGTTTTTGCATCTATCAATGGGTTGATTTGATTAAAAGTTAGAAATCCATTGTCTGAATTGTAAACTAGCCTTGTATGTTGACATTGTGGCTTCTCTCTGAACGTCTGAATGGTAGGATTGTATCAGCATGGATCATAGGATGCCTAGGCCTTTTTTTTGGCCACCTTCATAGATTTACTGCAAGATTCCACATACCGACAAATAATGACTGCATGTTTACTATCATGTTAACATAGTTACATGTTCAAAGTTAAAACTTAAGATCCAACACAAAGAAGTTCTCTCACCTAGAGCTTTTGACCTGTCAGCTCTAGGTGAGAGAACTACTTTGGATCTAAAGACTGCATGTTCGTTTATTTGTTTGTTTTGCGTGCTGACGTCCCCTCTCGTGTCCCCGCTCCAGGCAGCGTCCTCGTTCCTCAGGCTCCCGTCCTGGCTCTGGGTCCCGCCAGGCTGTCCCCCCCTCCCCTCAGAAGTCGGACGCTCCAGATGGACAGATGATGGGGTCCATAGCAACTGTATCCAAGGTAAGGTTTGGCATAAAAGTTGACACTGTATTTGGGTACAGATTCCGCTACACCAGAAATCTTTGTGAAAAACAAACAGGAGAGTCAAGATTCATTATTTGGATGAGCTGTATACAGAATGCTTTTTGTGTGAAGTAGACCTGGTCTTTTGTTTGAAATTAAAGTACATAGTACATTTGTAAATCGTTTGTACTTTGTAGTATTGAACTCTGCTTGAGATGTTTGACAACAGTCCGTATCCAAGGTACCATTAAGAACAAAACAAGAATGGCAGATTCTCGAAACAAGAACTTTTTGTAAAGTTCCTATTGCATGATTGTAATCAGCTATGCTCTGACTACATTATATTATAATATATATATATATATATATAATCATGAAAGTTCATCTGTGTTGGTAGTTACATGTTTAGAGTTAAAACTTTTGGTCCAACACACGGAAGCTCTAGGTGAAAGAACTTTACTGTGTTGGACCAAAAGTTTCAACTTCAAACATATATTACATGTTATACATGTACCGGGGTAGTCAAAAAGACTGACTCTTTGATATAACATGAAAGCAAACATTTGTGCCACTGAGTTCTTCTGACAATCAAAGAAAACTTTCAGTTGGCAAACTCATTAACTTCATTCTTCAGTGAAGTTCCCTCTGTTCTTTTCTCCTTTCTTGACCATTTCTTGACACGTCTTTGTTTCCCCAGGTGGACTTTGAAGTTGATGTCCCGGACACCCCCGGTGTGGCCGTCAGCCCAGATCTGGAGACCATCGAGGAAAAGTCCCCTCCTCCCACGGAACAGAACGGCAAACAGGCTGCCAGAAAGGTCAAACATCTTCTCATCATGGTGTTGATTGTGTTGTTTCAACCTTGTTATGTCTATACAGATCTATAAGTGATCACCTGTACATAAGGTCCACCTGGCCAATGTGACTTTCTGGTGGTCCCTTAGATAATTTTTCCTATTGACTCAAGTCAATCATTAAGAATCCAGTCTATATCAACCACCTGTCCACATAGACCAGATTTTATTACTCCCCTGAGTGGTCTTTTTCTGTCATATGTATCTACTGTGGTCCTTCTTCTCTATCACAGTCTTGTCAAATGTCAGTGCTGAAAAGTTTCAAATCTAGTTTACGTTTGGGGCTACAGAAACAGAGATGAGGGCCAGCCCCATATAGAAAATTGCAGGAAGGATTTTAACTCACACAAACTCCCGTACATCCCTACAGACCCCAGTCCCCACCCCTGGTGAGGAGGAACCTTCAAAACACAAGCAGAGGAGGAGGAAGAAGAAAGACGCTGACTCGGATTCTGTCAACAGCGTCGATTCTGTCACAACCGACTCTTCAAGATCAAGGTCATCTGTATTTGACAAGGTCAGTTGTCAAGGTTTTTTTGTATGCATGTTATATCACCATGAGTGTTTAGAGTTACAGATTTAACTGTAAATGTGCTAAACGATCAGTGTGCACATGTATTATGTTCTTGTACCTTATTAATTTCTCACTTTGAAAGCAGTTCCTCAACTATTTCTCATTCAAATTCCTGTTGTAGCAAGCACAACTTCCCTTGTAATTGTATTTCAACCATATTCTTTCTTATAATTTGTAACAATACAATACACTCTGGTGCACCAGACAGCAGATTTTAATAGCTTATGTTCTATACCACACATTATAAAACCTTACATAATACAATGATCTTACCTTATATCATGTTGAATTGTTCTTGTCTTGTTGTACGGTACTATATATACTGTCTCACTGTGTGTAATGTATGTACCCAGGGCCACTCTGAACAGCAGTGGTAAGTCACTGATGAGTGCCCTGGTAAAAGACTACAGAGATAAAAAAGAAATAATAAATGAAAAACACTAGATAATAAATGCAAAACAGTAAACCATCCCATGATTTCTTCCAGCCCAAACAGCCGCGCCCCTTGCCTCCCCGCCCCCACAGTGATGAGACGCCCAAGCGCAGGCCCCGCTCAGGAGACAAGCCCGGCAAAGGTCTGAACGTGGAGTCCAGCTCAGGCTACAGCTCTGTCTCCAGCTCCAAGGAGGATGCAGACACTCCAAGGGTAGGGAGCATCGTATATAGTCAATCAATCAATCATCTGTGGATGCCAGGAACTGCTATAGACATCTCTGACATGTATATTTTCGGCATGGGACCTCAGTTGACTAATTAATGTTGAAGACTTGGTCGTCCCACCTGCTTTTCTGTGGTGTCCTCATCTGGGCCATTTGCTGGTTGCATCTAGCTCTGGGGTAATCAGTTTTGTCACTTCCTGGGGAGGTACAGCTCTGGAGGTGTGTCCCAGGAAGTTCAACTATTGTTTGGCTATCCTGTGTAGTCCCCATATTCAAAACTGATTTTTAGGTGCAGAACACACATATGTTTTGAAGATGAATTAGAAAAAGATGAAGTACTAATAATGTATTGTTTTCATGTTACAGCAAAGTATCAACAAGTCGGCTCGAGCCAGAAGAAGAGAAAAGGTCAAGCAGGAAGTCCAACTCTCACCTTTAGGTACTCACTTTATTTTCTGTCACATATTTCTTCCCTTGATGTAACATATTTGTGACATTAAGTAAAAGGTAAAATGTTTCTTTCTTATCTGAGGAAAAAGAAGACAAACTAGTTTATTTCATCACACACGTAAAAATACAACATTGCAGCCTAATGCTAAATTGCAGTGTACTATACAAGACACACTAGATGGACCTACTTTGTGTATGTGTGAATTGTAATACAACATGTACAAGATAAAACAATAGCTTACTGTGCAGTTAAACATCTCACGAGCAGCACTAGACAGGAGCAGATGGAAGGCAATGATGGCCCGCCTCAGCATCAGCTGACATGCGGTGGAGGAGAGAGAGAAAAATCTCATCAGTCTTTCAGAACTGTAGTCTGTAACCACATGCTTTTTTTTGTTCTAATGAACAGTACACAACAGGAGATCCTCAGGTGAAAGACCCAGGACAGGCGGCGACCGACCTAAAGACGAGACGGACTCAGTCGTAGCCCCGAGACGGCGGGCGCATTCCGACAGCGGGGGGTCCGGAGACGGCAGGCCATACTCAGCCGGGACGAAAAGCAGTCAGGACAGCTCGGAAGAGGAGGATGAACTGGACTCACAGTCCTCCAACGAGGGAAAGAAAAAGTAAGACTGACAATTATAAAGATTGTTTGACTTTTCCCTGCAGTGTAACCCTGTTACTAAATCAAATCTGGTGCCATAAAGGTACCATCATAATTGGCAGGAAGAAGAAGAAATGCTATTCATTGTGCTACAAATATTGGGCAATTTGTTTATGATTTATCAACTGTTTGTGAACTTGTCATGACTGTCAACACGTAATATCTTTTTTTCTGCATCTGCCACCACCCTGAACATATAGTTCCATGAACATCTCCATTTTTCTCAGACTGTCAACTTGTGCTACCGTGAACATAGGTGAATTACAGTACTGCCAACTTGAAGTATAAATGGCAGGTTTGATTTATTTTCCATACCTGTCACAGAAGACACTCAGCTGAAATCGTTAAAATATCGTTATAATACCCCAGGCCAGTTCTCTTTAACCAACAACCCTGACCATGATTGCAGGAAGGAGTCTGAGATGAACAACTTCATCTGCCTGCTGGACACGACACTGAAGATGCAGGATGGGAAGGATGAAGAGGAGGACTCCCCGAGGGACGGGGAGGAGCCACTTCCCATGGAGGAGGTACCAACACCCCAGCCGCCCACACAGTCACCTGTATCCTCCATGAGTCCAGGTAGGTTGAGGATATCTTTTAACACTTTCAAAACTTCTATTCAAAAGTGTATAAAAAGAATCAAAAGCAAATTTATGAATATGAGTGAGACTGGTGCCTCACTGTTTTTGAGTCTGGAGCTATTGAGGAGGTACCAACACCCCAGCCTCCCGCACAGTCGCCTGTATCCTCCATGAGTCCAGGTACGTAGGGATAAGACTGAACCATTATCAAACAAATTATCATCATCAACTGTGTTCTGCTGCTAAAGTGGTCTGGACACTCTGCAGCAGCAACTAGTCTTTCTCCAGTCTTTTTCATAAAGTCTAAAATCTTAAAATCCTCTTTCACTTCATCTACTCACTTCTATCTCTAAACTTAAATCAGCTAAGCAACTGCTATGTAAAATGGACTTCATGCATTTCCATCTCTCATACCTGACCTTAACTATGCTATACTCCTTGTCTTTCTGTCTTCTTGCTCTTTCACTGTAGCTCTTCCTTCATTTGTGCACCGTGTACTCCAAGATGCCGAAAGACCATCAAACCTTCTAGGTATTGAATCAGCATTCCACACATTGAATCATTTATTCCAACCATACAGACTTAAAACTGATATCTTGTCTCTGTTACCAGTTAAGACGAAGGTGTAGATGGTTTGTACTTGACTTGCATCCTTACAATTTGTTCTATATATAAGTACTACACTTCTTAAAGGGGTAAGTTGCTATATGCTGCTGGATCATGTAATTCTGGTAGTTTAGAAATGTAAAAATAAGATGTACATGTACTGTACCTCTATTAAATAATTATACCATTGAAAGCAGATTTAGGAAAATGAATCTGATCTGCAGTTGATTTTGTATCACCCCGTCTCTTCTTCATTCTCTGCTTAGCCCCATTGCTGGGATTATAGTATGTTGCATATGGGTTAGTTACATCTGACCCAGTACGTATAAACATGAGGAAAGGAAAGTATAATAAAACTGAACATTCTCTCCTCAGGGCTTGAGACCATCAGTGCCTCCGGAAGACTGATGAACAGAATAGCGGCCCTGAGGAAGGACTGCATCAAGGGGCTGGGCATGGGTGTTCTGAAGAAGGCTTATGACATTCTGGACACAGTAGACGGAGACGAGGTTGAGGTGAGAAGCCTTTTTTCTCTGCTGTCATTTACATGTTGATGAGTATGTTGAAGCCATACTTCTAAGATAACTACTAAATTTGTTAACAAGGCAAGTATTGAAATGCTAAGGTTGACTTTTCTAGGATGAACTTTGTCTTTTTAAGACCTATTCTTTATACAACATATCATCACAATCCATCCGGACCCTCTTAAGTTATACTGGTCAAAATATGCAGAAACACAGACAGACACACCTACATGTAGAATTAATACAACACCCTCAGCTACAGTGTTAGGAATGCATACATGTACCCAAACATACATGTAGTACAGTCAGTATTGCCCTGAGGAAGGTGACAGGCAGTTACCAAAACATCAACTTGTCAACTTTGTATGCTCCAGTGTAAACTCATATTGATAACTTCACTCGTTTTGCAGCCCCAGCTGGTTGAACTGCTGGGTAAGGAAAAGTTCGACATGTACGCTGGGAAGGTCTGGCAGCTAAAGTTCTGCGAGGACTCCATGATGGGACTGCTGTAGAACACCTCAAGGTCAACTTCTCAATCCCACTTCTGACACCAACTCTGTGTTAGGTCACGCAAACACTGTCTAGATACAGTCAGAACTGCCCAAAAAGACCACTCAGGTCACTCATAAACTAGATAGATACACTTAAAACTGTCCAAGAAGACCACTAAGGGGGACCATTAATATCTGGTCTTTGTAGACAGGTGGTTGCTATAGACAGGATTCTTGATGCTTGTGTCAATGGGAAAAATTACGTAAGGACAACCAAGAAGTGGTCACATTGGCCTGGCGGTCCTCATGTAGAGGTGGTCACTTGAATGTGCAGATTTGACTATACTCTGCAGTAAAGGGTAGGTTAATATACATTTTGTACATGTACATACAGTCACAGATGTAGGATACAGTATAAATTACACAAGGGGACTGCATTACGAAGTTCGTTAGCAGAGACATAAGCAGTAGCTCATTCGTCGATGGGCTGTCCAAATGCACAAATAGCAAATTCCCATCCAAGCACAAGGTAGATGGGATTTAGAAACACACCAGGTTAAAGATAAAGACCACTTAAAAAAAATTCCATTCTAAAGTGTATGATTAGCCTGGGTGCCATCCCCAGTAGTATATTCGCCAGCTCTATAACTGTTATAGAGCTGGCGAATATACTACTGGGGATGGCACCCAGGCTAGTGTATGATACCATTAGAAGCAAATCTACAAGTAAGACTGGTGCCTCATAGCCCACTATTTTTGAGTCTATAGCTTCAAGTACTGGGCAATTGCTGCAAACTGTATTGAGGCTTAACATAACAAACATCTAAGTCAAACCTGTACGGGCTGTCAGTGTCTTAGATAACCATCTTCTCAGACTCATAAGTTTCTTACAATTAACTACAAGCAGCCTTAAGTCTTTTTGGGATACATGTAAAATTGTAAGAAGAAGAAGAAAATTGTATTATGATGTACTTAATATTGTTCCATGGTGCATTTATTGTGATTGAGTCACGATTAGGTGAAATTTAATAATAGTTATTTTCTACTTGTCACCTTTACTTTAGGTATATATGCTACCTCCGAGGAGGATAAGCAAAAGGATAAGCAAAATTGTTTTATAATGTTTGGTTGTTTGCATGCTTTGTTTGTATATGTTGCAGAATCTGGATTTATGTCAAAGCCTAAATCTTCGAGATGTTTATTCTTTGATTTCAGTATTGCGTGTGAAACTGCCAGATTTGTGATGGATTTAGTTGTGGTTTGAATTCTCTAGAAGGACTGTAAAATTTTTAAGTTGGCAAAATGAGAAGTTAAAACTCTGTGTGCCTTAATATAACAATCGGTGAAAATAAACGTGTGAGACATGGAACACAATTTAAAGTGGGACCAGGCCCTTTCTTTTCTTGTGGGTGTAAAATCTACAGTAACTAGCAAACCAGAAATATATTTGGATGTGCACCAAGCAACATATCATCATCCTTTCGTCAGATATTCCATGCAATAAGCACTTTGAGAAGACCACGAAAGTCAGGATGTAAAATATTTCACTTAAATTTGGCTCTACGTAAAATGTATGTTACTGCAAATGATAATCATGAATGTGTGGAAAATAAATACAACAAAATTATAATACTGTCCATGATATGTTCTCTTTTTAAAGGTAACCATTTTGTCAACAGCAAAATGTAAATCTTTGTTAGCACTCACTCACTCACAGGCAAGTAAATTCACATGTCATTGATCTGATAATAATGCAGTACCTGACCAAACTGCTAGAGGGCATTATTAAAAAAACATTCCATGCAGGTAATGAGTGCTGTCTATTCCTAAATGTTCTTTCGCATCACCTTCAATGAACAGAGCACAACAATACTACATAAAGTACACATATGGCTGCTGTTGTAGAACTAAGAGGTAATGTTGTATGGTACCTTCAGAACTGTAACAGTTGTACATGTATTTACTTTAGACCAAGGAGGTTAAACCTCCTTGTTTAGACTAACTCTGTTTCTATGCAACCTAGATCCCCTTATGACCTGTAATGATCTTGTTGTGTACACAGAGCAGTGTAGAGCAGGTCTATATAACTGTGTTGTGGGGAAGCCATCAGTGCTTTAGGTGGAAAAATTGTAGTACAATAAAGTTCTTCTTTCACAACCAAAGGAGTTTGCAAGCCAACGTTTTGGTGACTGTCACCTTCCTGAGGGCAATACTGACTGGTAGTGTAGTAGAACCAGTCAGTATTGCTCTGATGAAGGTGACAGATGGTCACTGAAGCATAAGCTTAACTTCTTTAGTTGTGAATAAAGAACTTTCGTTAATTTCAGTCATTTACCAACATGATGAAATTGTTGACGGAGGTAGAAAAATTGTACTCATCTCAGATGGACCTCAAAGTGTTCTCAAAGACTGAGAGGATACAGGCAAACAAGATGTGACAACAGTTTTTAGAAACTACCATTGTTACTGCTATGCCGTAAACCTGTACTTCTTCTTGGTATCTAAAGATCATGATTCACCCATGGTAGCTGTTAGACAGAAACCAAATATCTTAATGTATTAGGGCAGGCTCTGCTACATAGTAACATCTAGACAGTCTGTTGTGCTAGAGACTCTACAACTGTGTCCATTGTTAGCTGGCACACTGTATAACACAGTCTGGTGAATTAGACTCTTATAGCAGGACTTCTTTGTATGGTTTGGTTTCTCAGAGGGCTACTGTTTTGTGACTGCATTCATTTTCAGGAAGTTCTTTTGCAGTGGCTGTCTCAGAGAGAACTGTAACTGTGTCAGAGAAATTGTACCACAGCAAGAAGGCTCACTTGTGAGGCAACATCACTTTCATCTTCAACTTCAACTTTATTCAATCGTCAAGATGTACTTATGGTATTTTTGTAGCCAGAAGACAGTGTACAACTATGTTCACATTTAGAAAGTTAATATATGCTTCTAGTATGACCTGAAGACTGAAAATGTGAAGAATGTGGAGTCTACTTTCAGATTTAATGAACCATCCCCCAGCACTATGGATGGCTATCCCTCTCCATTATTTTTGGTTTATCCCCTTCAGAACAAGAAGCCTACTGAAGTATCCAATAAAGTTCTGTTGTGACGTACAAAGTGCCTGATGTAGTGTTTATTCATCTGTTGCTAAAACAAACAGTTTCTAAGGCCTTGTTGTTATTTAAATCTAACCACACTAGACAGCTTAACTGTAGAAATACCAAAGACAATGACCTGCTTGAACTGTTCAGTAGCTTTTCTGCCTTCAGTATTTTCTTTTAAACTCCTCATTCTGTAAACTTTTTGCCAAAGGTTAACAAGGTTAAGCTGAAGAGAGAGTTGTGTTTCATTTGAAGAAACCTCAGCTTTTTGTACAGTAAAAAAATCAATATCAAAATACAGGATACTCATTGAATACTTGGTGGCTTAGTCAAGTGGTTTTTCTAAACAGAAGGCCACTATGGGGTTTTTCAGAAAACATGTTTTGACTATTGGAGACAGGCAAAAGTTCAAAACAGACTGCAAAGTTTCCTAACTGTTGCTACCGTTTGCTTCTCTATTATCCTTTTGACAGTGCTTTACAGGTGGGACCCCTCACCGCACTTCTACCTCCTGCATGGCCTTTTCTTCGCTTTTTTTTCTCCCGCTGAAAAGTTGGCGCTCGCTGTTTGCACTTCATTTTGTGGCACGTCAAGTGCTTGCCCAAGTTGCAACGATCCGTGCTCCAGTGTTTGTTCTCTCGCAGACTAGTCCGGTTGCCAAACCCCCGATTTTTGGAGAACCTTGCAATGCGGTCCATACAAAGTTTTTTTGTTGTTTCTATATCTCTGAGGTGTGCTCTTTCAGAATCTGAATGATGCCACTCTGTCATCCTTGGGCAATTCGCACAATATGCAAATTAAGGTGGCCATTACTGAAACTCCAGTTTTCGTCAATATCTCAGTAACTACTCATGGTATCAGAATAATTTTGGTGTCTATCCCCAT